GAATCCTACCCTTTAGGGGGTGGACAACGGTTTATCCAATCCTTACAATCCGTCCAAACCGACCCTACCCGCACAAATTCGACCCTACCCGTATGCATAAATAGTCCGGGTCTATTTTTTCATATAAAATCGGATTCGGGTCAGACTCGACCCTATCCGTGCAAATTCGAAACCCACCTGCATTATGCTCTGTTTGGCAAGGAGGTTTGGGGCTATTTTAGTCACAAAAGACAAAATAAGCTATTTTAGCCACAACAAACAAAACATCACATCCAATCCATAATCATTACACTCTTCTCTCACAAAAAAAGTCAAAAAAGTCGAAAAGCCAAAAAGCTTTTCTCAAACCAAACTTTTTAACCCAAGTTAAAATAGCCAAAAAAGTCAAAAAGCCAACCCACTTCTCAAACGGAGTCTATGTTTAAAATAAAAATATATCTCTTTACATGTTGAATTCATTTTTTCATCCTCTTTTACTATTTCTCTCTCTCTCTCTCATCTCACCTACCTTTCTCACCACCTCCATCTCTCGCCTCTTGCTCGTCATCTCTTTCATCTCCTCCCCGTCGCCATCTCTCTCCTCTCCTCTACTATTACCGTCGTCTCTCGCAGATCAACCTTACTCCATCGCCATCGTCTCTCCATCCCTTTCTCTTCTTCCTGTCGCAATGTCGCCGTTGCTCAATCGCAAACCAGATTTGGAGATGCCAGATCTGGAAGATCTACTACAAAAATAAAATAAAAATAAAATAAGTTTCATTGCATGAATGAAGGTACCCAAATCTAGAATCCTTCTCCTTTGCCTGCAGATTTCAGGTTAGCAAATTCATCTCAATGGTTGTCCTCTGCTTTGTTTAAAGGGAAATTCTGTGTATTTGGGATTCGATCATGCTCTATTTTGTCTTTTGATTTGAACAAACACTTTTGGAGTGAGGTCCAGACACTTAGGCCTCCTGGGGTTTTGTTTTCATTCTTGGTTTCTTGTCAAGATCAACTTGTATTAGCAGATTGTGCAATGGCCCTTGTGTCCCGTTGTTTAATTTGTGGAAGATTGATGAGAAAATACCAATCATGCCTCAGAACTTGCTTTATTGGTGGTGTTTGGGAAGTTGGTTCCCAAATTTTTTTCTCATTTTTTCCACTAAAAGACAGAAGTTTTGCAAAACCAAAAAAAACACATCCAAACAAAATATCACATCCAACCCCATAATCATTTCACTTTTTCTCTCACAAACATCACATCCAACCACATAAAAACCCAACTATCTTCCCAAACACTAAAAATTTTTTATCTCATAAAAACCTACATCTACTAAAATCTACATAAAAACTCACTTCCCAAACACCATCATTGTTTGTTTGATAGTGGTGGGTTTTGTAACTTTTTGCTTCTTTTATTTAATAAAAGAAAATGTTTTTGATTGTATTGTGTTGTGGGCAAGACAATATAGATCCAGATAATATGACTTACGAGAGGCAAGTTTATAGATATACACTACAATCTTTTTCATTTTGTTGTGTGAATTCCATACTAAATTCAAAGCAAAAAGTTATAAATATTTCAGTCTAATTTTTGTCCCATACAAAACCTCCAACTGCAGTTGAAATACAAAAAAAAAAAAAAAAAAAAAAAAAAAAAAAAAAAAAAAAAAAATCTAATTCACAAACCGCCCGCACCTGCCCGCACAACCGCATGACTCACCCGTTCAATCCGCAACCCGCACTGCGGGCGAACGCGGTTTCATTTTTTCCCAACCCGCACCCCATCGAGCGAGTCTAACTCGTCATCCGAACCGCACAGAACCGATTTGTGAACATAGGTGAAACAAACGTGACCATAGACTGTTTTGGTTGGGGTTCATAAGTGGGGGATTAACTATGCTGTAGGTTACGTTTGTTTGACGAATTAGGTTGGAAGAAATTGTTAGTAAAAACATGGTTAGTAAAGTGATTGTTAATGTGAGAATTGTTAGCAAAGAAATTAAATAAAAATTTATTTGTTTTGACAATAGTATGAGAGATAGTTAGTGATGAAATTATTAAATTATTTTTATATAAAATAAATAAATAAATTATTTTTATATTAAAAAAATAGTATGGAATTTGTGTTAGTTTGGTCCTAACTTTTCAATTGTGACCCATTTGACGCTGAATTTTGAATTATTTTAAATAAAGACAATTGAAGATACCATTACATAATTTTAAGGCAAATTTGTCTATTTGATCAAATATAAACTAATTTGACAAAAATAAATGTCAAAAAAATATTTTAAAATTTTTAAAAATTATTTCTACCCACCAAAGATAAAATTATGTAAAATTGATAAATCCCTTAGACATTTATTTATTTTTTTATTTTACCAAATTAATTTTTATTATGTGTTTGGATAATGATTATGCAATGGATGATTGTTTTTATTTTCATTAAATTAGTTTCTATTTTTCCAAAAATCAAATATGACGACAACTTTAATATCATTATTAAACCAATTCATTAAAACAAAAAAATCAAAACTAAAAACATATCATATATTAAATATATCAATTATACATTAAAATTCTAACAATCATCTATTATATGATCAACATTCAAACACATAATAAAAATTAATTTGGTAAAAAAAAAAAAATCTTTTAAAAGATTTATTAATTTTATATAATTTTATCTTTGGTGGGTAAAAATAATTTTAAAAAATTCAAAAATATTTTTTTGACATTTATTTTTATCAAATTAGTTTATATTTTATCAAATTGATAATTTTGCCCTTAAAATTTAGTAATGGTATCTTCAATTATCCTTATTTGAAAGAACATTCAAAATTTATGCTCAAATGCGTCACAATTGAACATGGACCAAAAGTGATATGAGCCCCAAACTATATGAACTGTTAGTGTAATTCGCCCTAAAAAAAAACTAAAACAAACAGATGCACTTGGTAAAAAAAATTAAAAATTTTAAAAAATATTTTTATTTTAATCATTAAACTCAATAAAAAATAATATTTAGACATTTTATATATGCTTACATTGAGTTTAATGATTAAAATATTTTTCTCATCTATTTTATTTATGAAAAATAAGTTAATGGTTTAGATTGAAAGTAAATTAAAATATTAGGGTTTGAATTGAAAAAATTAAAATTGAGTTTATTTGGTTAAAAAACTAAAATCTAGGGAGTTTTTTTTAATTGTCCCCAAATTGTTTGTCCAATATAAAAAAGAACTTAAAATAAAATAATTTTTATGCAAAAAAATTATATTTTTTAGAACAAAAAAAATTATAATATTAAAAAATACTAAAAATTAAAATATATTAATTTAATATATTAATACTGTCTATAGTATTATTAATCTGGCAAACACTCTTTATCTTATATTTCCAACTTAATACCACCACACAAATAATCCTTTCACTCAGTCTCACCGTACTCGGTAATTACTTTGGTATATGCAGTACAAAAAAAATTACATATGCCTGAGAAGATAGTCAAAGGCGAAGCTGGAACATCTTCACAATAAAAACAAATAAATAAATAAAATAAAAAAGAAAGATGAAGAAGAATTGACTTCGAAGAGAGCTCCCCTTCTGTTAGGAACTACCCCTATCCCATAAGAATTCAGATGTGCTAAAGTTTTTATTCAGAGCATTTCTATATATGGTTGTGTTGTAGACAAGTGTCTCCATAAAGACTCCATAGATCCATACTGAGATTCAAACCTAAACACCAATAAATGCAGTGATGCCAATATCAGGAAATGTAGTTGCTCAGGTAGTTAGCATTAGCTAGCAAACAAGGTTAATGTAGTGGAGCTCATCAAATGAAGATGGATCATAAAAGTAGAGTTATCACTTACAAGTGCCACAACACTATGCAAGAGAAAATGAGGGGACGGTCAAAGGGAAAAGAACCAAAAGAATATGAAGAAAAAAAAAATCAACCAAACAACTCCTCAGGCAAACAACTAATTAATCTTCACAAGATAAACATAGGTTGAATAGCTTGCCACTTATGAGGACTATGTAGCGATGGCACTAGAAGGAAAGCAAAGAGAAACAGGGATATAAATATAATGCACTGATCACATCGAAATTAGTTGTTGACAAAGAAAAAATGAGGTGTATGTGAGATCAGGGATGATTGATAGGTACAAGTGGCCTTGCAATGCTTTTTTCAAGTATAGTTGGTCCTTTACATAGCTCTAACCACCGGAACTTGACCAAAACATTTGATTACTGATGTAACACTTAGTTGTCAAAATGCAAATACCGATTTTACCACAAAGGAATCCCAAGGAAACCCATGCTACTGCTAGCAATAAGCTTTCAAAAACATAAGAAAAAAGTATACAAAAGAGCAAAATTAGCTGCAGATGTTGTTTTCATTATAGCCTTTTGTCCTTGTTACATGCACACAGCATGCTTTTACTCTAACTACTTATGTGCAAAATATAAAAAATCACCTTTGAGCTCGCCACTTCGAGCATTTGTATGCCACAACATGCCTTTATGCCACTAGTTTCAAAGTTTGCCACTCACCATTTTTTCGTAAAGAGCATTTGCACTAACATCATGCCAAATGTGCTTAAGCAACATAAGAAATTCTAATATTCTAATTTATCAAAAGAACTAAACACTCCTCACTGAATATATCCTTCCCTTGAGCCAAGCATCTAAAAATTGCATAGTGCCACACACATCATTCAAAAGTCTACCAGTACTGAACACAAGACACAACCGTAAACCTTTTTCAGATCACTCTCAAGAGCAACCATGAACACAATTTAGCCCTACTACAAGTTCTATCATAACAAGAGAACACTAGCACACATTGATTGCCAACGGAAATTTTATCTATTTATTCAAAATTTCATTTCCAAGCAAATTGATCACAATGTTAATGCCATTATGAAAAGTGCACCCATTATATGCACTAAAAACTGAACCTTTCAAGTCCAATTGAGTGATAATGTTGATTGAATCAAAAGCAAAGTATTTTCATATGGTTCAACTAACAAGACAATTAATTAATGAAGTTATCAAATATTTACAATGCCCAATTACAATTCTTGTCTTTTTTTCTCGGCAACCAAACAAGAAGGGTAAAAGATAATGCACATTTCGAACTCAGAACCGAAAACACAACAACAGATCATCAAATTCTTCAATATAAAAACTGAATCCCTCATAAATCTCCAATCAATATTGATCATTCCTAATCCGAGTCTATAACAAAAACCCTGTTGAAAAAAACAAACAAACACATAGTATAGAAAACCTGGAATTGAATGGAACCTCTAACTCAGAAATCAATCATCTTCGTCTCTCTTCTTCTTGGGCTTGCGATAATTCTCTTCGAAGTGCTTCGCGAACACAAGCCCTGTGTTGAAAAGCTTCTTTATATTTGGAACGTTGTAGTTCTGAGCAACGTAGACTCCGAAAAATGTTCCCACCATGAATGAGAAGCTGCTTTTGATTAAGCCCATCGAAGATCGATCGTGATCGATCGTTCTCTCTCGCCTATAGATGTAATTGCGAAAAAAAAAAAAATCAAAGGGTTTTCAGATCAGTGTTTCGGAGCCACGTGGCGGAGGATGTATAGAAGTTTTGTGTGACCCCTTGTTCAAGCCTAGAGGGCAGATTCTCTGCGTGCAGCGATTGCGTTGTACTGTTCATACAGATGGACTCGACTGCGCAGTGACGGGAACATCAAGGCAGTGGCTTCCCATTTAATTCCAGAACAGACTGGACGGCGCTGTTGGACTCTAGAGGGGTCTCGTTTCGATAATTTAAATTGTTTATTGTGTAAAACTCGTCCAATATTATATGTTTATAAAAAAATACGTTGATCGGATATCCATAATTATCTCATCGGATCAGTTTTCTATCAACCGTTTATTTTTTTAAGGTCTATTTTTTTATACAAAAGATCACATAATTATCGATATCTGATCAATGTAATTTTTTATAAATATTTAATAATCGATAAGTTTTACACATTGAACAATTCGAATTATTAAAACAAGATTCGTGATAGGCTCTCAGACCCCGTTTGTTTGGGGTTATAGGAAGGGAATTGAGACTACTAATACCTTGGTATTACTAACACCTTGTTTGTTTTTTAGAGATAGTCTTGAGACTACTAATACCTTGGTATTACTAATACCCTTGGAAGGGGGATTCATAGTGAGGAAATAGGGATAGTATTAGAAAAATAGTGAGAAGATTAGAAATTTTTTTATTTTTTATATATTGAGAATTTTTTAAAAAATATTAATTTTTAATTTTTATATTTGTTTTATTATTTTATATTAAAATAATTTAATAATTTTTCACTATCAATCCCTTCACTATTAATCATTTTTATTCTATCTTTATAAACAAACGAGAGCCCAAGCGCTTAATAAGGGAAGCCGGGGCCAAAATCATTGTATAGAAACATGTGCATTGTTTGTGTGGTGCGTCAACCTAATGAGAGATCACCACATTCGGCCCAGCGAGCCTCTCAAAGGGTAAAAGTGTAACAAGTCCATGCCAAATGGTTTTAGGGTTTTGAAGCCATCCGTATTCATGAGAGTGGCTGTTGTATTGATTTACTGAAGGATCCATCTTCGGCTCTTCGAGCATATCTGACATTTTTGCCCCTAGTTTGAGGGGAGGCTTCTGATCTAACTTTACAAGCTTCCTTTGATCTGATCTTCTTGATCTGACTTTGGTGCCTCTTGTTCGAGGGTTGCTTTAAAATGGCCACACAGGCCTCACGTTGTGGTTGACCGTTGAACGTTTTGAACTCAGGTTCAATGGTTTGAAAGCGAGGGGTCAAATCTCGAGGTTGAGAGCGATCCTAAGCTGCACAATCTCAAGAACGATCCCACACAAGTCTTCGCAGGACCGCGCAAAATATTTTTTGAAATCTTTTAAGAAAGCGACAAATCGCTCGTGCTGAAGACAGTGTAGGACCAATCATAAGAAAAAAAAAAGTCTAGGTTTTGAGGGTTTTTCGGACCGAAAGAAGGGCCGGTTCTCGGTTCGACCAGCTGGGCTAGTCTGGGCATGAAAACCTTGTAGTAGAAAATGTTTAAAATATTTTTTTTATTAGTGAAGGTCTCTTAATATTTTCATAAAAAAAAAAAACTTCAGTTCAGAAAAATTTTGTCTGACTAATCGAAATTTCAATTTTCACAGAGAAATTTTTCTGTGAAAATTGAAACTTCTCGGAGTTGGATAAAATTTATCTAAGTCGAATTTTTTCTATGAAAATATTGAAGAATGTTAACTACAATGAAAATATTATATATTTTTTATCTTATAAAATCTTAATAACAGGGACCTTAAAAAAATTCCTTTATTTTTTTTGACTTTTTGAATAATTTAGTCTGATTAATTAGCTCTATTTGGAAAGAAATTTTTGATTTTTTTGACTTTTTTTTTTGAGAAAAAAATAAAATAATTATGATTTGGATGTGATATTTTATCTTATTTAACTTATTTTATAAGGCCTATTTTTGTAACTAAAAAAAAAATCAGCTAATTGACTTATTTAAGTCACATCATCTCTCTGCTTATTTTTTTCTTTTACACATTTAAAAAAAAAAATCAATAAGCCAAAAAAAAAAATCCAAAATAAGCCCTAGTTTGAAAGCTCAGACTTATACATTCAGATTTTTTAATTGAGTGATTGTGTAGTGGGAATTAAAATTTTATAGTATAGAATTGATATATAAAATAAATTTAAATTACAAAAAAATAATTCTGGATAATTTATGTTCGTAGTATTACTGTTATACAATTATTTGTCACTTTTAAAATTAGAAATATACTCCTAGAAGTTTATTCAAATTATGAATTTCTCTATGTGATTTTAAAAATTATATCTCAACTTTTTAAGTTTCTAATCGTATAACAAATGACTTATTTTATTAATAAATCATTAAGTTAATTAATATTTTTTTTACTAATAGTAGAAATATATTTCAATTAATAATTCAAGTCATTTTATTGTTCTATAGGAAAATAATTAGAAACTGTGGGGGCATATTTTTTGAATAAACAACACGTGGCCAAGGTGGCACCGAAGTGCCAGTCGAGGTGCCACGTGTCTTGGTCTTGACGCCGAGGTGATCTCGGCTAGGCCGAGGTTACTTGCAAAGATACCGAAATTCGAGATAAATGGATAAGCTATAAGAGTCCAAGAATGGAGAGAACCTCAGTCTAGATAAGGATAAAACTCTCAGGGAGTTTATCTTTATCTATTGGAGAGTCTAAGATGAGCATTGAGCCCGAGTCCATTGAAGCTACGCTTCTACAGGGATCAGGTCAGTGCTGACTATAAAAGTAAGGCACCCTCATGGGTCTAAGGTACGTTTTTTGTATTCTAACTAGTGAGTAAAAGTACTATTAACTATCTTTGAGAGATAATTACTGACTTGATCGTCGGAGTGTCCCAGGTAGACAAACCACCGCCGGAGTCTTTTCTTTCTGTGACAGGTTGTTCAAGCGTGATCTATTTTGCTGGTGTTCTCCAGTTGAGTACCTGTTTGGCAGTGTGGTCAGAAAACAACACACACAATTTGGCGCCATCTGTGGGAAAGAAAGAAGAATAGATAGCCAACGACGGATAGAAAGAGAAGATTATAGACGACATCCCTACGAGGAGTGGTAAACACATCGACCTTAACGTAGAGGAAGATAATTGCAGCGAAGAAACTCGGGATCAGAACCCCAGAGAGAAATACGTTGGCCAAGAGAGAGACATACCAAAGAAGGCAGACCGAAGTGGGTATTATAACGAGAACGATCTCCAAGTGTGGAAAGATAGATGCTTGCAGAGGGACGGAGAGATGAAGGGAATGTCGAATAAATTGGTAGACCTACAATCAGTCGTCAATTTCATGATGCAGAACAACGTCATGCAGCCACCGTTTCCATTACAAGACACGCCGATTCCAGCGGCCAAGAACAATGCCCAGAAAAGGGGGGCAGAAAACAGTCCCTGCAGTCCCCTAGCACACCAGGACCAATGAATACTCTCACCGGCCTTCAAGAGAGGTCGGGCAAGAAGAGTCGATAAAGGGAGATTCTCGGATGACACATCGTACCAAAGAACACTACAAGAAAAAACACTTTTGGCGACCACCTATTTTTTTTGGTCGCAAATAGTCCACTTTCTGCGACCAAAATTTAACTTTTGGCGACCACAATTTTTTGGTCGCGGAAAATCACCTTTTGGCGACCAAAAAAAAAGTTAGTAGCGAAAAATATACCTATTGGAGACCAAAGGCTTTTTTGGTCACAGAAAATCACATTTTGGCGACCAAAAAAAAAAGTTGTCGACAGAAAGTATACCCTTTGATGACCAAAAAAAAGAATTGGTCGCGGAAAGTATACTATAGGCGACCAAAGGCTTTTTTGGTCGCAGAAGATTACCCTTTGGCGACCAAAAAAAAAAGTTGGTCGCGAAAAGTATACTATTGGCGACCAAAGGCTTTTTTGGTCGCAAAAGATTACCTTTTGGCAATCAAAAAAAAAAGTTGGTCGCGGAAAGTATTAGGGGTGAGCATGGTCCGGATTGGACCGGATTGGGGTAAAACCAGGACCAATTCGTTATCTACGGTTCCTGAAAAATTGGAACCAATCCAATCCGTTTAAATCATGGAACCAATCCAAACCAATCCATTTAAATACGGATTGGATCGGTTTAGGACCACGGATTCACATAATTAAATAACAAAAAAATATATATATATATATATAACACTTTAATTTTATAAAAATATAAACATAGCGTTATATTAGTTCCACAATAGCAACATCTATTTCTATAATAGCGACATATTGTTCTAGAATTTAAACAACCATAAGAAAACTGGTTTCACTATAAGTATTTAAACTATTACAAATTAAAACTAAAAACTAACAAACAAAAGTAATAAAAGAAGATATTATTCGGTTATAGGTTTGAGTTTAGATTTTATATAAAATAAGAGAAGATACTATGGGGGAGGATGTATAATAAAAATATATACTATATGTATACGGTCCGGATCGGTTCCAATCCGGAACCGTGGGGTTTAATCCAGAACCAATCCGTATACTACGGATTTTTAATTCTTCAATCCGGAACCGAACCGCGGATTTAAAAAACCAATCCAAACCTATCGGATTGGACTGGACTGGATCGGATTACGAATTTTACGGATTCCTTGCTCAGCCCTAGAAAGTATACTATTGGCGACCAAAGGCTTTTTTGGTAGTGGAAAATTACCCTTTGGCAACCAAAAAAAAAAGTTGGTCGCGAAAAGTTATGGCGGAATAAATTTTAAAAAAAATGATACTACTGTAATTACATGCTATTTTTCTGTTTAGGCATTAAAAGTTTTATGAAATAATATATAACCCAATTTTTATGGGTTATATATATTTTTTGCCAAATATGAACAAGAAGCATGGTATTGGCAGAGTGAATTGGGTGCATGGTGACTCCTTGGTCAAGAGTTCAAGTCCCAGGCAGCACAAAAGAATTATTTTTTTTGGGTCAAGGCGCTGACTTTTGGCGACCAACTTATCTTTGGTCGCTAAAAATTTACTTTTGGCTAATATGAATTGGACTTTCCGCGACCAAAAAAGTTGATCGCAAATGGTCACTTTTAGCGACCAAAGGCTTTTTTGATCACAGAAAACTATCTGTGACGAGACTTTAGCGACCAACTCACGACCAACATATTTTGGTCGCGAAAAGATTTTA